GAAACCTGGCGAGACCTCATCTCCACAATAAATCAAAAAATTAGCCGGCCATGGTAGCGCGCGCCTGTCATTCCAGCTACTTGGAAGGCTGAGCGGAAGGATCGCCGGAGCCCAGCAGGTCGAGGCTGCGGTGGCCGGGAGCAGCCACTGCACTCCAGTCTGGACCAGAGAGTGAGACTCCACCTAAAAAAAAAAAAAAATCTCTGTAGGTTGAATTTATGGCTTGGGAGGTCGAGGTGAAGGGATTGCTTGAGCCTAGGAGTTCAAGACCAGTGTAGGCAACATAGAGAGACCTCGTCTCTACAAAAAAAAAAAATTAGCCAGGTGTGGTAGCGTGTGCCTGTAGTTCCAGCCACTCGGGAAGCTGAGGTGGAGTATCACCTGAGCCCAAGAGGTCGAGGCTGCAGTCAGCTGTGATCATGTCACTGCACTCCAGCCTGGGTGACAGAGGGAGACCCTGACTCGAAACAAAAGAAATATCTCTGTAAAAGAGGAGTAGCCATAGACATAGATGGTGTGCCAACATTTTATGCAAGTGGTTCTCAAAGGTGTGGTCTCCAGACAGACAGTATCAGTGGCACCTGGTGAAGTCATTACTTATATAAGTGTGCTCAAGTTCCAACCCAAACCTATCGAACCAAACAAAGCCTGGGGCCCAGCAATCAATTCTTTAAGCCACCTGGGTGATTGAGATGCGTGCACAAGTGAGTCCCACTGCTTTATGGCACTATGAACTTCCCACTCCTGTTCTGCTCTCGGCGTTCTTTCTCTCACCAGGAACCTCTCTTATATTCTCCGAAAGTTCCACTGGAGGCCGGGTGCAGTGACTCAAGCCTTTATTTATTTATTTTTTTGAGTCGGAGTCTCACTCTGTCGCCCAGACTGGAGTGCAGCGGCCGCTCCCGGCCACCGCAGCCTCGACCTGCTGGGCTCCGGCGATCCTTCCGCCTCAGCCTTCCGAGTAGCCGGAATTACAGGCGCACACTACCATGTCCGGCTGAGTTTTTGATTTATTGTGGAGATGAGGTCTTACCAAGTTGCCCAGGAGAGTCAATCCACTCACCTCAGCCTCCCAAAGCGCGGGATTACAGGCTGAGCCACCGAGCCCGGCTGGCTCAAGCCTTTAATACCAGCACTTTGGGAGGCCATAGCAAGTGGATTGCCTAAGTTCAGGGGTTCGAGACAACCCAGGGCAACATGGTGAGACCTCATCACTACAATAAATTTTTAAAAATTAGCTGGTGTGCTAGTGCACGTCTGTAGTTCCAGCTAATTGGAAAGCTGAGGAGGAAGGATCATCTGAGGAGGTTGAGCCATGAGTATGCCACCGCACTCCGGTCTGGGTGACAGAGTAAGACTCCAACTCAAAAAGAAAAAAAAAAGAAAATTCTACTGAAGAACTGAGTGCAAAAACTTCTGATTGCAGGAGATTTAGGATTATGAGGTGAGACAGTGAAAAGGGCTGAGATAGATTATTATTATTATTTTTTTTTTTTTTAGTTGGAGTCTCTGTCTCCCAGACTGGAGTACAGTGGCTGCTCCCGGCCACCACAGCCTCGACCTGCTGGGCTCCGGCGATCCTTCCACCTCAGCCTTCCAAGTAGCTGGAACTACAGGCGTGCTACCACGCCCGGCTAATTTTTGATTTATTGTAGAGGTGAGGTCTCGCTGCCCAGGCAGGTCTCGAACCCACGGGCTCAGGCAATCCACTCACCTCAGCCTCCCAAAGGCGGGGGATTACAGGCTGAGCCACCGAGCCTGGCTTGATTCTTACCCAAAAAGTCAGGATTGGCTGGCCACTGAGGCTGACACCTGTAAACCAATCATTTTGGGAGGCCACAGTAGGAGGATAACTTGACACCAGGAGTTTGAGACCAGTCTGGGAAGCATAGTGAGACCGCCCCCCATCTCTTTTTTCTTCTTTTGAGTTGGAGTCTCTGTCGCCCAGGCTGGAATGCAGTGGCGTGCTCATGGCCACCGCAGCCTCCACCTGCTGGGCTCAGGCAATCCTTCCGCCTCAGATTTCCAGTAGCAGGAACTACAGGCACTAGCCACCATGACCGTCTAATTTTTTGATTTTATTGTGGAGAAGAGGTCTTCCTGAGTTGCCCATGCTGGTCTGGAACCCCCAGGCTCAGGCAATTCTCTCGCCCTGGCCTTCCAAAGTGCTGGGATTATAGGCGTGAGCCACCACGCCCGGCCTCTGACACAACTTTTAGTTAACAGATTTTCTCTTTAATAAGATGAGAGATAAGAGAAAAAGCCAAACAAATAGAAAGAGACAATTTGAATAAAGACTTTGAAAGAGGCCAAGCAAGGTGACTCACACCTATAATCCCAGTACTTTGGAAGAACAAAACTAGAGAATCACTTGAGGTAAGGAGTTCCAGACCAGCCAGGGCAACAGAGACCCTCATATCTGTAAAATTAAAAAAAAAAAAAAAACCAAGAAGTCATATCATATTTTTAAAAACAAACCGCCGGAATTACAGGCATGCGCTGTAATTTTTTAAAATTACATTTTTTAAAATAAAAATGCTTTTATTTTTAGAGTTAGAATCTCACTCTGACACAGGTTGGATTGCAGTGGCATACTCACAGCTCACCACAGCCTCAACCTCCAGAGCTCAGGGGATCCCTCTGTTTCAGCCTCCTGAGTAGCTGGGACTACAGGCCTGGGCCACCATGCCCCACTAATTTTTAATTTTTTGTGGAGACAGTGTCTCACTGTGTTGTCCAGGCTGGTCTGGAACTCCCGAACTCAAGCAATCCTCAGCCTCCCAAAGTACTAGGATTACAGGCTAAGGTGGAAGAATCGTCTGAGTCCTGCAGGTTGAGGCTGCAGTGGTCATGAGTGGTGGTCGTGACGTGCCCCCACCCCCTAGCCTGGGTGACAGAGTAAGAGACTCCAACTAAAAAAATAATAATAAAATTTTTAAAATGTACCCTCTAATCACTAGCTAAGGGCAGAACCGGTTTCTCAGAGGTAGTTATTGATAATGGCTTCACAGCCTTTCCCAGCTTATTTTGTAAACCAGTTAACCCAGTCAACCCTTCCTGATCTTCATGACACAGAACCCATCAAGGTGGCAGCAATCATGTGACTAAACCACCCGTCTGCCTGCTGTTCATCACCTGACATCCTACCTGTGCTGATGGGCCCTTCCTGATGACATGGAAAAGACCACCACCTAATCACCTTAATGGCTTGAGGGAAGTTTAAAAGGCATTCAACTTCAAACAGCAGTCATTATTGCTTTTTTTCTTCTTTGAGTTGGAGTTGGGATTATAGGCGGGAGGCACCACGCTCAGCCTTTTTTAATTTTTATTTATTTATTTATTTATTTATTTTGAGTTGGAGTCTCACTCTGTCCCCAGACTGGAGTGCCGTGGCCGCTCCCGGCCACCGCAGCCTCGACCTGCTGGGCTCCGGCGATCCTTCCGCCTCAGCCTTCCAAGTAACTGGAATTATAGGCATGAGCTACCATGCCCGGCTGATTTTTTTGATGTATTGTAGAGATGAGGTCTCACTGCTTAGGGGGGTCTCGAACTCGCGGGCTCAGGCAATCCACTCACCTC